TGCACAACAGCATGTCAGTCTTCAGGCGGCAAACGTGTGGCGTGTGAAACCGCTCACCAAAGCAGCATTTATGGACACAAATTCTCGTTACAGCATAAATTGCTCCGTACTCACAGCAAGGAAAGAAGCGCGACAACAAGCATATCAAGCATGCCTCGGCTACATGCCATTTGTGAAATCATGTCTCAGGTAGCATACTGAAGAAATAAAACACTTAAGCGGACTTCTATTTTGGGTAGAAACATGCAACAACCAGCGCCAGAAGACATGTAAATTATTCGGAAAATCCAGACGCAAGGTGTACAGACAGAGTCAAACCTGTCCAGAGCACCTAACCGGTCGCTTCAGCTGCCGTTTTCTACAAACCTAAGCAAACGTCGACGCCGTTATGATACATAAATAAGTAAAGCTGCATGCTAAGTTCTTACGCTATAATTCAAGCATGAACGGAAGCTTGTAGCTAACGTGAGCTAGCAGCTGCGGACAGCAACAGCATCCACAGCCATGTGCTCTGCCACTCCAGACAAGTATGATTCCGTCTGTACCTGCACATGCCTGCCCTGCAGACAGCAAAACTTCCCCTGCACGGTACTGCAAACGTCTGGTTGTGGGAAGATTGTATAACAAAGTTCCACGAGATCACGACCCACTACCAGTTATAAATATGCATGTACCCGACCTCTCACACTCGGCTAAACAGGACACAGGCGGTAAAGACAATTACAGATTCATACATAAATCCTAGACTTATGCACGCCATGTATCCAGACTACACTACTGCCACGTTCCATTTCTCAAGTTTTGTTATCGCCCCAAAACACTACACAATTCTCAGCACAAAACGCGCGCGCAGTTTTCGAGAAGCTTCCGGACTTTAGTAGATCATTTCGATAAGAACACGCCCACTCTGCTAACTGTACAGATTATTCTGGAACCTATCCCACTGCCAGCGATAACGCTAGAACATTCTATGGCAAGAGTATAAATGCCGACGCACTTTGCCGCTTGTCAGTAGTTGATGGACGGCCGACGCTCCGTTCACCGCTATCAGTCCAAGACTGCTACTGTAATAGGACTCTCCGTTTACCGGGCACAGGTTCGCCCAAATAAACAGTTAAATTCCAACGCAAAGTCTCCTGTCTTCGGCCACATCACGACCCCGTGACACTACAAACAAATGTGGATCGTGTTGAGAGGTTACCACGCTTAGCCACATGCTGTGGGAGTGTCAGGGCTTCAAAGACAATTCGAACAGTGCTGATCCATCCGTCTCCTCCACCGCCAGCTTCCGCTCGCGCTAGGAGACCCCACTGCTCAGCTCGAACCTGACAGCGCAACTCTGAGCCGTCTAGCGTGCTGAGGATGCTGCTTCGAGACAAGGCCTCGGAACTGGTTCCTAGGTGGATGCCCAGGCCCACTAAAAAGACGTCGGACACAGATCTTGTTGACTCGCCAATGAAGTTTGCGTCTCTCTCTTCTGCCAATTCACTACGCTGTTACTTTCTGAAAACTGGCGGAACCCGCGCTGTGTTCCTGCATTGAGCAATGCAACAAATATTGTCCGACTTTGTGGTTTCGTCAAACTAACGACGGATATTCACAGCCAACTCCAAGTAAAAAGTTTGCAAGCTCCCGCGTTCCCATGGAAAGAGCTTCATGTAATTATGAGGAACGTCGCCTTGGGATACTCCTAGACACATGGGGTGCACGGAAATATATATACACGGGTGATCCTGCATTTCGCCACTAAGGAAACGTGCCGGTCGTAGGTGAATGTTGAAATCTCGTCCACAAGCTAAACAGTTTGAGGCATAATCTGGTAACGTGTGTCACACACGGCGGGTCAGAGTGAACTCATCCTGCCAAAGTTATTCTTATAGACAATCTAGCAAGTTCAGGCCACAGCAAGCGCGGATGATTGTGATGGGTTACTTACGTGACACGCATTCCTGCCACACCGTAGTTTTGCCAGGTATGAATGCTGAAGACACAGAAAGGAAGAGAAGCTGGTACGAAAGAAATTCGTGTGGCCTAGATTTGATTGACGCCGAGAGATACATCTTATTGTGCTTGATTGACAGTGCAGTGTTTAGCTTGTTAGGAATGACAGAAACGAACACACAGCAAGTATAAAACAATTTGCTTGTCATTCCTTTATGTGTGCCACCTCTCGTGTTTATGCTGTTCATTGCGATGAATTCATTCAAACAAACCCAGAAAATCCCCCTTCTGAAAAAATGCATGTTATTGCGAAAAAAAAAAGTTAGTCAATATTCAGACCATACTTCGCCCGAGCATGGCTGCTTACTTTGATGGTTCCAGAAAGAAGGGAAAAGGGCACCACTATTATATCTGCCTGTCACAAGAGGACACGACTAAGCACCTTTGGGGGATGGGGATTGGGAGCGGGGTAAGGAAACACAGAAGAGAAAAAACAGGAAAGGGTGGCCTTCATGCAGCAGGCACGACAAAGGAAGCGATGCAGTGTGCCTGATGTGTCTAGCGCAGCAAGGGGGCATGGAACGTGCACTGCCTTTTTCACTGCTTGTTTTTATCCGTCGTTCCACTTCCTCCTGCCTGCTTTTTAGTGGTAGCCTGTGTAATGGTGGTGGCAGTGGGTAGAAGAGGAAATAGGCACCAAATTTCTGCAGCCCGGTCGAGAGCATGGCACAGGCCACAGACACACATGTCTTTGAGTGGCCTTTTTACCCCTTTCCCCAAAAATGACACGGTTGAAGTGTCCACGACCGAGAGACAGTTTATGTTGTCAACTGCCCCCCCCCCCCCTCTCCCCTCCTTTTTATTTCTATTCAAGAACCTATTCTCCCAGACACACACACACGAGAGGGACGACCCCATCCCCTGCTTTGGTGCTTTTCCGCACAGCTGTATGAGAGACGCTCAGGGGAGGCATGTAGAAAAAACTTGCAGATGGTGGAGCATAGTTTGTGGCTAGAAATAACCTTCTTTTCTGAAGTAAATTGTTTTCGCCCGCCACAGTCAGGAAAACGGGGAGCTTTCATATTCGACGTTTTTGCTTATTCTGTCTAGGTGGCGTTAGAGGGAGATTTCTATTGTAGTTACAGGAATGATGCAGATTGCTTAGCATTCCTACAGTATAAGCGTGTCATTAGTATGTAAAATTGTATGAGGAGATCGCAACTGCTATTTTTTCGGCTATGCGTGCTCGGATATCAGCGCCATTTGAAGACAACTGTTGACGTCTGTGGCAGTATAATTTGCGACAATTTACGAGACTCGTTTCATATTTCTATTCGCTTTATCAAAAATGCTACGTTGAGAAAACAGATAAGGCATTTCGTTTCTCTACGTGCAAATTCAGCCACAGAACTTCAGTAGTTATCCGCAGAAATGGGCCAAGGTAGGTCTATGTATTGAGAATATTGCCCCATTTACATCAATGTAATTAAAAAGCGAGAGCACGTATATTATTGATATTTGGCCTTCAGACAGAAAATATCATTGTCTACATATGCGCCGAGAATGAATTCTCTTTAGCGAACAGTTACCGAGCCGTCTGCAGCAAAGGTTACTAAATTTGTTAGTTTTCAAAAGCTGATCAGCTATAAAGTACAAGTCTGACAATAGTTTGCTACGTTGAGAAAATAGATAAATATGTCTAGAAAGTGCTGTTAAAAGAACAGTGCTGTAACTGTAGCATATTTCTCAGAAAACAGTCACTGCTGGCGCATAGTCAGTCCAAAATTTTGTAACTAGCGCTGATTCCTGGCTCTCCACACCAAAGTACTAAAAGGCGACTTGTTTTTAATAGACATGTTTCGAATGTACAAAGATCAATCTTTTCAATGATATATAAGTCAACTATATGAAGCAGGAAGAACAGCCCTCGCGGCAGTTGGAGAAGTAACAGAAATGGTCTGTTCGTGCCGCCGGAGTGGGACTGCCACCTTAAGCCAGTGTACATTAGCATAGATATATGGGGCTGATGTCTAAATTCCGGTTCTTGAAACTCCGTTGCAAACTAACCCTAGGCAGGCTTAATTTCGAGAAATGAATCACGTTAGGATGAGTAATGAAGCCTTTTAGAACAAGATTGCAGCTGAGCTGACTAATGCGAGGGATTATTGGTCAGCTGCCATCTCGTAATACGATCACGTACTACATTACGTCAAACAGGCCAGAATAGTGTTCCACGGTCACCATAATTTTAGCGGATGGCACTGACAGAGGTTCCCACGTTTAAATGCACATATGTACCCTACAAAATGGACAAGGGGGATGACTGCCACCGTAGCTCAGTGGTAGAGTGTCGAAAGCGTTATTCGGAGGTAACAGGTTCGGTCCCTGCCCATAGCAATTATCTTTTCCTCCTCTTTTTCTTCTTCAAATTTACATTACAATTACTTCTAATAACATACTTTCCCTGGCATCATTGTCTGTTAGTTCTCATTAATATTGTAGGACGCTAGTTATGGACTTGCAAAGCACCCTCAAGGGTGCAAACTTGTTTGCAGTGTAGCTGAGAAATGCCCTTAAAAATGATACAACCTCTCAAATATCACTATGCAATAAGCACTACTTCTATGAAGACATGTTTTACTTTCGTGTTATACCGATTCCTACGATGCAGGAATCAGCCTCTTTTTTTTTTTTGGCAGTTGAGTCTCTTTTTGTGTCTTTTCACCATGGGCTACCAATACCAAGGGCAGGTAAACGTTTAGTAAAACTGGGTCCAATGTGGGTTAGGACCGACAACTTACTCCTAGACGGTGCCCTAGTTAACCCGCTCATTTACTGCGGTTACTTGTACACACACTATTACAGACTTCAACGTTGAAGAAAATCGCTGCTTTGGAAAGTAAAATTCCCTTTCCATAAAGTGCATTTTCACTGTACAATAAAGAGGCCATAATTACAGCATAAATGAATAACTGAAACTTGAATCATTACTTGTGCAAGGCTGCATCATGGTTTGCAAAAAAGAAAAAAAAAAGGTATGCATCTAAAAAAATGCTTACTTGAGCTTCTTTTTTTTTGGCATTGCATTTCTTCAGATGCTTCTCAAGAAGGGCTGATGAGCACGTGCTGGAAAAAATATGCAAGTTTGAGGACATTGCTAGGAGTGACATTCATTCATTTATGTGTCCTCATCTGTTTACTAAGGCACATGGAATGGTTCATTGGTTGCTCATATTTTAAATGCAAAGCCTTCTTTAGCAAACATACGGCACCCTGAACGTTCCTACCAATGTATGTATCTATATAGCCGCCCATAAGCCACCCACATCTGGATGTTCTCGTAATCGCTTCCTTATTAACATGGTGTACACCGACATTTGCATAGGAAAGTACTTTGAAGGTTTTGACGAATATCAAAGGTTTTGAAGGTTTTGACGGATGTACGAGTATCCTGTCATGACATTACTAATGGGAAGATCATGTAGCATCCTTCATCAAACCTTTTCCTTCCCAAAAGTGTCGCACATATCCGTTTAGCGCGGTATGCATGCGTACATATGCGTCACAGGTGATTGACACTTTAACACTAAAACCCTAAAGAGCTTGTTTTGCAGAATTTTCGGTCGTCTTGGCAACGGTGTCAGCACCTTTGGCTGTAAGTGAAAGATCATCTTGACCAGTGAATGAAAAATTAAGATGCAAATAATACGAAAAATTGGCAACTCCCAAGCATCATGAGAATCGTTGTGCAAAGCATGCAGAGGTAAGGTGACTGTGTTGTAATTTTTTTACTGAGTGAAAGGTTACAAAATGACAGTAAAGATAACAACAAAAGTTGTACGCATAGACATATCCTGAACATTCCGTCGCGCATGTTTCATTTCACCAATTTGTTTACAGTTGCATATTGATGCCAACAAAAACATGGGTATTAAGAACACTAGAAGCGATAAACTTATGTGTAGCGCTTGTGTTAGCGAGGATGATAGTTCTAGACAGAGCTACGTAGACGCACTTATGCATACAATTGACATTAATCAAACAAGACGCCTGCCTAATAGGAGTACATATGTAATATTTATAACATTATATAGCCAGCACTCCAACTGCAGTTGACGTTGTGCCAACATAGGTTCTGTTTCCAAAGCAGTGTCAAGGCCTCACATGGCTTCGTGATAGAATTCCTGATTGCCACGCTGAAAGCTCGGATTCGATTCCTGGAAGAAAGTGCTCCCATGCGACAGTATTTTCACGTTACTCTTGTCATGACCAGCCAGACATACTTTTGAAGCTCTCTTACCCTCTCATCCATCCTAATAACTAGATAAACATAGGGACGGTTGGACGGACAGCCAATGATTGATATATGGGGTTTAATGTCCCAAAACCACCATATGATTATGAGAGACGCCGTAGTGGAGGGCTCCGGAAATTTCGACCACCTGGGGTTCTTTAACGTGCACCCAAATCTGAGCACACTGGCCTACATTTCCGCCTCCATCAGAAATTCAGCCGCCGCAGCCGGGATTTGAACCCGCAACCTGTGGGTCAGCAGGGACGGACAGCCAAGACAGGCGAGGCAAGGCAAGGCAGGCAGGCAGGCAGAAACGTTTGCAGTACGAAAGAAAATGCTTCCCATATAATAATAAAGGTCGTCTCCATGACAAACATATGTTGTACCACAGAGCCACCATATTGCTTGGAACTGCTTCGGGAAGGTGATAAATGCGATGTGGCGGGAGGAGTCTCCTTCTCCGAAGTTCACAATGGAAATAGAGTGATACGAAGCACAATGGTTCCTTGATGCTTTAGAATGACGACAAGATGAGCGCATGACCTGCTCGGTGTACAGAAAACTAACGCACACCGGCACGGTACTTGCACTTCACCTCGGGTCACCCCACTGCCCACCATGCTTCTGTAGTGTTAGTGCTACTTTCACGAGCAAGAGGCATACGCACGTCAGAAGGGAAAAGAAAGAGAGAAGAAGAGAGTCATAACCAAGCTCAGAAGGAACGAATACACAGCAGCTTTCATCCACCGTGTGGCACGCCGCATGTCAAGAGGTCAACCACCCCACCATGAAAAAAACCTGCGAACGATAAACGCGACCCCCTCCCTCACTTACCACACCACCGGCTATAATGAGGCAAAAGAGACCAGCCCAACAAGTTGTCATTTTGTATGTGCCGGGAGATAGCGAGCAGCTCGCCAGTGTCCTCGGAAAAGCTGGGGTCACGTTCATAAGCCGGCTTCAACGCTCGCAAGCTTATTACCGTGGCCAAAAGATCAAAGATACAGAGAGCAAAACCAGGGCATAGTATAGAAAGTGTCGCAAGTGGAATGTCTAGCGAGCTACATAGGCAACAGTGAATTGCCAACCACTGGCACGCGTTTGCTCGCGTTTACACGTCCCAAGTGTCAAATGCGTCGCTCGGCATCAAAGGGGCATATGCAACAAGGAGCGAGGGATGTATTTTCGCTTACGTCACCACGCGTACTGCAGCGTCAGCCAACCAGAGGCCATGATACCTCCGAATGCTGTGCCTAATGGCTGCTGCTTCGAAGGCATGGCTATAGTATAGTGGCTAGAAGGTTTTCCTAGTGTCCTGAATGAGGCAGCGAGGCTGAAAGAGTTTATGATACTGCTTCCAGAGGGCGCAGCCGCTTGCTGGTGCGCTTCGTTCGCGTACGTCAACATGCAAACGAAGTGCTTATGCGCTAACCATTACATTGACTTCAAACCACTACATTTGTGCTATACAGATTGGTGATGCAGGCAGTAAAATTAAAAATAGAAACGTGGGTAGAGCAAATATTATTTTGGAAGACCTTCAGTAGGGATTCCAAATAGACAGTTGGTTAGATGATACCCCGTTTGTTCTTACTCAGTGTATAGAAATATCTAAAATAGAAAAAAGGTCCTTATATATAGCTTATCTTGACATCACTGGGGCGTATAACAACGTAAATCAGGAAATTTTGTGAGACATATTGAAGAAAGTGGGCATAGGTGACGACTGTATACAGCTTTTGAGAGAAATATACCAAGAAAACACAGTTTGCATAGAATGAGAAGGAACAAGTTAGCAATGACAGCATTGAAATTAACAAGGGGCTGAGACAGGGATGTCCTTTGTTCCCGCTGTTATTCATGCTGTACATGATGAGGATGAAAAAAGTGCTGGAAGGTAGCAACATTAAAATTATTCTGTCACACAAATAGACTGGCACGATGGTTGAGCAGCAGTTTCGCAGTCTATTTTACGCAGACCATATTGTACTATTTGCAGACAGTCAAGACGATACACAGCAGCTGGCACATATATGTGGAAGGGAAAGCGAGATTCTAGGACAAGGATTTAATACAACAAAATGTGGAATGATGGTATTCAATGATCACAAAGACCTGGCAGTCTCCATACAGGGCCATGAATTATCGAGCTTAAGTGAGTACAAGTATCTCGAAGTATGGGTAAAAGAGGGAGATAGATCTATGGAGGTAGAGAAAAAACATGGGCAGCAAAGGTAAAGAGGAATGTTCCCATAATGAAGAACAGAGCGTTATGGGGATATAATAGGTACGAATCTCTTCGAGGTCTGCGGAAAGTTGTAATGATTCCAGGGCTTAAATTTGGGAACTCGGTGGTGTGCATGAAGTCAGAGGTGCAATCAACAACGGATGTAAATCAAAGAGCTGTAAAACGTCTCGTTTTGGGCCCTCACGGGAAGATGAAAAATGAGGAGAAAAATGATGAAACGATATAGACAAGCTTTGAAGTAGGGGAAGCTCAAAGCAAAATGAGATTTGCAGAGAGGCTAAAGAAAGTGAAGGAGAGTAGATAACAAGGAAGGTGTTCAGATATTTGTATAGAAAAAGCGTGAACACAAAGTGGAGAAAAAAAACTAGGAGGCTCACCAGAAAATACACAATTGGCAGTGTGGGCGACACAGTAACAAAAAGCATTAAGCAAAAAGTCAGAGGCGCCTAGAGGATTTATTGGATGACAGTGATGAAAAAGAAGCCGGCTTTCAGTAATTACCGAAAGGGCAAAAATGAAATAAGGCGGGAGAGGTTATATGATAATTCAAGGAGAAGTGTGTTACTTTTTGAAGCGAGGTGGGGTTGTCTTAGCACGAGTTGCCATAAAGTTAGATTTCGTAAAGAACAAGAACAATGTTGAGACTCACACCGCGCTGGAATTAAACACACAAATAAAAGACACACTGAAGCACAGGTAGGACACACACGAGCGCGAACTAACAACTGTTTATTCGATGGAAATGTGACACACACATATATAGGTTGAAAGGAGAGAAAAAGAAGAAAAAGAAAGAGCGTGAACATGCGCACTGCCCACCAAGATAAAGCGCCCATCAGTGCTAATCAAATCCAGCCTTGTCAACTATCTAAATGTCTACGTAAAAAAGTATATTCATTGTTTGACAAATGAATAGATGGCACACTAACACATTTGTCCTCACCAAACCTGCGCATCATGAAAGCTTCAATGATTTCTCTTTCCCTTTTGTCTTCTGATCTGGATAAAACAATGGTCTTTTCAAAGTTCGGCTTACAATGACACTTCATGCAATGGGTAGCTAAGTTACTGGGGTGACTGATTTGCTTGCAGTTATAATCATGCTCGCGTAAACGTGAGTTAAGGCACCTACCAGTTTGCCCAACGTACCAATTTCCGCAAGGCAAAGGAGTACCATATACAACATTTGTTTCACATGGAACAAATTTGTTAACATGCCTAACCGAACATATGTGGTTGTTCCCTTGGTTGCCGCTGTTTACTTGGTGACAAAGCGAAATTAATTTGTGAGGTGCCGTAAAGGTCATGGGTATGCCATGCCTACTTGCAATTTTTTTCAGTCCATGCGAAATGCCGTGAACGTAAGGCATAACAATAGGCCTCTCCTCTGGCTTCTCTTTTATTCCTACGTTCGTGTTGTGCGTGCTGCCGATGGTTTTTAAAAGCCTCTCGGCCAAGGCTGTGATTAAGGCATCAGGGTAATCACTGTCCCTAAGTCTATCAATCTGCTTCATCAAACTACGTGCAACCATGTGGTCACACGACTTTTGGCAGCTGTTTAACATGCACGCATATGCAACACTT